TTATACCGACATGATATGCGATTAAGAAGGATTTACATGACGCATGATACACGTGGAGGCGCGTACAGATATAATTCATTATGTATCGTACACATATCGCTCTACTTACTCTCTTCATATTCACTCTTTATTGTTTATTTTAAAGTTGCATATATATGGGTGTATGCACGTGACAATCGCGGGTGAAAGTGATACTGTCAGATATCATGAACGCGAAATTTGACCGATTTTCTATCTGTGTTTATCGCGGATCGATATTTATTGCAGTATGCAATGTTCGCACCAACGTTAACATATATCGCATAAAATGTATGACTATTAAACGCGGAAACGGGATTATTATTGTAAGTGGACATGCTCATAAATGTCACGTAATTCACAATGCAATTTGCCGGCGCCGTATAACGTCAACGAAATTATTAATCGGATCACCCTTCTGACCATATGAATTTTGAAGTAACAATGCGTTCGTAATATCCACGTGTCGTAATACTCGCTTTTGTTCGTGTAATCCCTGCGGCTTGAAGATGAGAATTACAGCGCATAAATATACAGTAATGACTTACCGAATTATACACACATTATCAAATTATACAAATTCTGATAAATATATACGTATATACATATTGTACATATAAATCTATTAATAGTAAAATGTTATATATATAAACTCTATTTGCTATAACAACTGCTAATATATATTTGAGTTTATATTCCTATAGAAAACACATTTATTCCATTAATTCAAAGCGTATTTATCGTCTAATTGTATATATGCACAGTAAATTTATAAAATATACAATTCCAGTGAATAAATTTGGAAACGGACGATGGTGTATTCATGGTTACGTTGATAGCAATTTGTGAAATTGATTGCAGAAAATTAATGGATATGTGCAATAGGAATTAATTAATGTGGTACTTTCATTCGAATCCATTCGTGGCTGTACACTATTTCAAAATTAAGTTATGTACGTATTAGATAGATATATCATACACGGTGTATTTTCAAACTAGTTTAAGTTAACAGATGATATCTTTTACTATTTATCTAAATACTTGATATATTGACGACTCCGTGTCTGACTTCCATGAAGAACGACTTCCATGTCTTGTAAATTTAAATCCCAAATAATGAATCACCGTAATCCATAATAAGGTGAACCTAGTTACGATTGAAGTTTTATTCAAGTAGGACATCATTTAAGTCAGTTAAGCTACTTTATCAAACTTTTTTGCACCGAGTAAATTGGAATCACGAGACTTCTCGATCGCTATATATATGTATATCGTATCGTCTGAGTCTCCAATAAAGAATAAATTTACGTAAAATTTTCTGACAAGTATATTATGCTCGTTATTACAAGCGTAAAAATGAACAGTTTTGAAATACGATACGTGGCTTTGAAGTTAACTTTCTACAATGCCACGTCTGTATTAAGACCACCGAAACAATCTTAATCAATTGATGTATTGCTACGAAGTGAACTTCGAAAAGGCTCAGTATTTCCGCCATTTTTCAATACTCAATCAATTCCAACTTGATTTGATTCTTATGGACAATAATTATTCTCCTATGTATTTCAAAAGATTCTCGGAAAAACTTTCGAATTTTATATGAAAGTTCCCGATAGAGAGAATGAGGGAGAGAAAGAGAGAGAGAGAGAGAGAGAGTTTCTGGCAGTTTCGTACTCTCGAGATTTCATCGTTCATTGCCGAACGATATCGACAAAGGTTCGCTATGATCGGGAGAGAAGCTTATTACCGCTCTCTGTTGTATTGTATACTACGATAGAAATCGGTAGTAGTTCGCGACGTATTCTCTTCGTTGAAACAGTACGATCAGCGTAATTGCTCGACTGGTAGAGAAACTCGTCGGAAATTCGCGGCCATGGGCAATCCCTTTGAGGAAAATTTTAGGATTCTAACGTGAGCGCCCCATGCAAGGCGACCGACAGTCCGACAAAACGGTTCCTTTTGAAGCATTTCACCTTTGTTCAAGCGGAACCTCGTACGGTAACTTGACTGACAGAGACAATGTGCATTCGATCCTGCGTAAATCCGAATCGGAAGAAGAAACGGGAATTACAATAATCAAAATTGCTCGAATCAAAAGGGGTTAGTTGTCGAAAATCGAAGGTCGAATTTCAATTTAATTATTTGGCAATTAATTCACGGATTCCGTAATTGCGTAATGAATAATCTATATAATCGGCTGCTTTGTTCATTAATAATAACCGTCGGTATAGTTTCGTCATTAAAATAATAACGGCAAAATCATCACGCTGTATCGTTAATAAACAGTTCCGAATCACGACGCGGACGGCGGATGCATTTGCGAATTCATTAAATCCGTTGTATAATCGTGCAATGCAACGTCGAAAATTCGTATTGGCCGTATTGCTGTTTACAACGTGGCCGTCTGGCAATTTCGCGAATACGCATGAGTGCTCATAGATCAAATATTGAGATATATAGATATAACTTGTTCATTGTCAAACAGTATCGATAAAGCTTCGCTAGAATCGGGAAAACTTATTAACGACGAGGTGTTATTAATTAAAGAACGTCATTATTTGCAAAAGTAACTCTTTCACTAATGTTTGGGAAAGAATGTTTAGAAAAATTGTGCCAAGTATTAAACATCATCCATATTAATCTGCACGGTAGTCATTTCCTCTCTCTTGCTTTCTCTCTCTCTCTCTCTCTCTCTCTCTCTCTCTCTCTCTCTCTCTCTCCACAGGAAGAATATATAAATGAGTTGCATAAGTATATGATAGCGAATGATAATTAGTTCGCGCAGAGCCAGGAAGACGAGCGTTGCAAAAGTACGTGGAATAAAAATATAGCAGGAGAATATGCGTCGGGATACTTGGATATCTAGTTACTTATTCGCATAGTTTATACACGTGTCTGTTAACATCGGCGCGGAATATACGCGATAATCTTTCTCGGACTTCCTCGAAAGCTCGCGAGATTATTCTAAACCGACATTTCTTGCCGACGAATTTTCTCTACCTTTAATAATTAATAACTGGCATTTACGCGCGGATCCTGTCAGCGCAAAGGCAAGAGCAGAGAGGAGGGACATCATTCTACGATCAAAGATTCATCGCGCTTAAGTTAAGGGATACATTTCCCAGCGCACTCGGGCAGTTTAAGACGGCTTAGACTGACTTCGTAGCGAGCTCGGGCATATTTCGCTGTTGTAGGACGACTAGGACGAGCACTAGAACGACTCTTCCGCGGAAAATGTTAAGCTACGCTTTTATGCCGGAGTGATAATGGGCCCGAGAAAAAGAGAAAGAGAGAGGGAGAGAGAGAGAGAGAAAAAGAAAGGAAGAGATTGTTTCCTTTTATTCTCGTGGATATAATAATATAATGTCTGCCACGTCGTTGCACCTCGAGGTCTCGGTCGTCGGGACCAGCTAGCTAGTACCTCTACCGTCTCTACTACGTAAGGAAGCTATTCATTTTAACGTGAAACTTTAAGCCACCGCGCTGTAATAAGGTAGGAGAAACTTTAATAGACGCGTTTTAAGGATATGCCCCGTCCTTTTTCCTGCCGCACGGAGACGTTTTAGATAACCTAAGGAAGCACGCCGGAGCAGGCTTTGCCAGCCCTTTACCGCTCTTTTAATTTTTGTCCACGTTTTTCAGAAGTTTCATAAACGATGTAAATTAATTATACACACACAATATATTTATTCTGAAAATATATTTCTCGTACAATAATACGTTATCAAAATATATCGCGCAATAATGTTATTCGAGGAATAATATCTTGCAGAAGAGATTATGTTAATATTTATGCGAGCAACCTGTATATACACAAATTTATTCGGCATCATATTAATCTTCACATAAATATGACTAATATGGCTTGAAATATTAGATGATAAAATGTAATTTGCAATATTCTCGGACATTAAAGCGCATTCGGCCTTCTGCATTTTACATCAGATGATTAATGAGTTGCATATCGATGAATCATTATTACAGTAGTCGATTAAAAACAGATTTACTCTCTACAAAAATACCCTGTAAATTTTTCTGTAGTTTACAAAGCTGCTGAGAGAATAACGAGTATGCAAAAAATTATTACATAAGTATGATAATTCGATTGAACTTGCCGAGTTATAAAAATCGTGATCAATAATAATTTATATGTAAATATCAAATATTAAAACATATAAATAAATCATAAATTACGCGAGCGATATATGTGCTATTAAAATCTTTAAAAGTAATATAAAGTAATATAAAAGTAATAAAATACAAATTTTAAAAAATATATACATTATATAATTGTTAAACATATTTATTTTTTAACTGATTTTTAGAAAATTATTTTGCAACTTGCATAATTTTGCGCCGCGTATATTTATCTGTAGGAAACTAACTGCGCTATACATTTGCCTGCGGAAGTAAACTCTTGTGGCGACTCTTATTTGTGACTCGTATTTCTCCAAACCAATAACTGACTTTGCATTATATTCTTAGCGAACGTACAAAACATGATTATAATGTTTACATGATTAATGTTATAAATTCGTGCTACTTATAAACTTCGTGTTGCGTTATGAAATGTAACTAAAAACGAAGATAGAGATCTCCATTAATCACAACCCTTTCCCCCCTCACGAGAAATAAATATTGGATATTTGACATAATTAGATATTAATTTATTGCTCCCATAATAAACAGAAATTTAGTTTGTACACAAGTAATCTGTAAAGTTATAAATCTTCTAAACAATGATGAAA